AGGCAAAACCTACATTTAGACCAAGAGGTAGTTGTCAGAACAGAGCAAGGAGACACTGCATAGATCAAAATCGGGAAGGGCGTCTGCCAGGGATGTATTTTGTCTCCATAACTTTTCAATCAGTATGCAGAACAGATCATCCGGAATGATAGGCTGCATGAGGAGGAATGTGGCATCATGATTGGTGGAAAATTTATCAACAACCCATATTATGCACAACCCTGCTTGCTGAAATTGAGGAGGACCTAAGCGTTTGCTGTAGAAGGTCAGGGACTGCAGCCTTCAATACGGATTGAGGCTCAACATCAAGAAAACAAAGATCCTCACCACTGGACCAATTGGCAGCATCAGTATGTATGGTGAAGAGATTGAGATATTAACAATTTTAGTTTGCTTGGCTCCACAGGCAACACTCTTGGTACCAGCAGCCAGGAAATCAAGAGATGAATTGCACTGGGGAAAGTCAACTGTCAGGAACCTCTCCAGAGTATTGAAGAGCAACAACATCATACTGGAGACTAAGGTGTGCCTGATCTGGGTTATAGCCTTCCCAGTTGCATGCTATGCATCAGAGAGCTGGACAGTGACTAGGGATTATAGAAAGAGAATTGATGCCTTGAGCTGTGGTGCTGGAGAAGAGTGTTAAATATACCATGGACTGCTAGAAGAACACACAGGTTTGTACTGGAGAGGGTGAGGCCAGGCTACTCCTTGGAGGCAAAGATTCTGAAGCTTCATCTAACATACTTTGGGCATGTTGCAAGGAGGGACATCATGTTTGGGAGAAAGGAAGGACAGTGCAGGAGAAGAAAACCCTCCATGAGATAGATCAATTTAGTGATTGGGGTAGTGGTATTAGGGGTGTCAGAGACAATAAGGTTGGCACAGGACAGAGCAGGGTTTAGGGCTCTTGTACATTGGGTTGCTCTGAGTTGCAAGCGACTTGAAGGCATGTAACAACAACAACAACAACATTCTTGATAAAGGAAAACTACTCTCTGGATTCCAGTTAAGAATGTGAAGTTTATGTATCTCCAACTTAGGCTAATACATATACTTATTTTGCAAATAGAGAAAAGAAAAAAAGAACAAAGCTTTGCCACCAAAATTTGTCTAGTCTTAAAATAAATTGCCTGTTAAATTTCATGTTATCTCAGAGATTTACTGTGTAATCAGCAATCTTTTAGGTTTGTGGTCCGTCAAAAGAAGTAGAGGTATTAGCAACACCCCATTACCCAAGTTACTATGTCAATCCATCTCCTCCAGGGTTTTACTCTCCTGCACTATCCCTCCATCCTTTCAAGCAATGGGGGTAGGTGTGTCAGAGTCCATGAGACTGTACCAGGATAGGACAGGGTTCAGAGCTATTTTATTACCTGATGAATCACAGGTGAATCAATGGCACATAACAAAACCAACAACATTAGCAACGTCAAGTTCTTCCTTGGGAAGAAATATACAGCCATGTCTAGAGTCGCTTGGACTTTATATTAATGCTGAGTCTTGAAAAGGCATTTCAGAAAGGAGAGTAGATAAAAGAATACTGATTTTGGGAAGATTACTTAACTACTTTGGACATAAGTTTTTCATGACTTTAATAGAAAACTTGACCTTGATAATATCTAAATTTCTTTTTAAAGAACTATGGCTATGTGTCTAGATCTTAAATATTTTTAGAAACTTATTCTAGAGCAAATGCAGTGTGAATTAGAAATAGTACAACTGAGTTGTTGCTCTTCTTGTTTCGTGCTAGCAGGTCAACTGTAACCACTCTGAACTTGGCTTTTCTTGAGATTTTTGAAGTCCAGTTAGTTGTATTTAAATTCTCCTTTCCTCCACTTCCTATATGCTAGTTTCCTGAATTAACAGTCTGTGTTGAGAAAAACAAACTAACATGAAAAATATCTGGCACTTGTAGAGACTCAGTGGAAGTTAGCAATTAAACACAATTCAACAAAAACAAGAAAGGAAAATTACTCTAATTTTGCAGGCTAAGATTAATCAATACAATACAAATGGCATGTCATTACTGTCATTGTGATGTGCCATTGAGTCACTTGTGACTCACAGTGACCCTATCTACAATAGCTCTAAATCCTGCTCTGTCCTGACTCAGTCTCACTGACTCCGACACACTTAACTCCATTATCCCAGTTACTATGTCAGTCCATCTCATCTGGGTCTTCTTCTCCTGTGCTGTCCCTCCAGGCCTTGCAAGTGTGATGTCTTTCTCCAATGACTGGTCCCTCCTGGCCACATGGCCAAAGTATGTGAGGCAGAGCTTCAAAATTCTTGCCTCCAAGTAGAAACTTGGATTCACCATCTCCAAGCCAAATCTGTTTGTTCCCTTCTGTAGTATGTTAAAAACTTTTCTCTAGCACTCCAACTCAAAGGTATCAATACTTCTTTTGTCATCCTTAGTCCAGGTCTCGGACATATAGCAAGCAATTTTGAAGGCCTTGGCCTGAATCAGGTTCACCTTATTCTCCAGACTGACATTGTTGCTTTTTAGCACTTTGTAGAGGTCCCCAACTGTAGATTTCCCCAGTACAACTCATCTTTTGATTTCCTGTCTGGTGCCAAGAGTGTTGATTATATTGCTGAGCAAGCTGAAATTGTTAACAACCTCAATCTTTTCTCCATACATCTTAATGTTGTGCAAACTGGCCCAGTAGAAAGAATCTTTGTCTTCTTGATGTTAAGTTCAGTCCATATTGAAGACTACAGTCCTTGACCTTCTGCAACAAATGCTTCAGTTCTTCCTTGTTGATGAGTCTCCCTCCAATCCTGATGCCACATTCCTCCTCATAAAGTTCCGCCTCCCAAATGATCTGTTCCACATACAGATTGAAAAGGTATGGAGACAGCATGAATTGCTGATAAACTCCTTTCCTGATTTTGAACCATGTGTTAGGGAAATATCAAATGTTCACAGCAACAAATAACAGGAAACAGCATGTTGTATGCTCACAGCAGTATATAACTTAAAAAATGAACTGTTTTTGAAATTAAAATGAGGATCTTCTAATAATATAATATATTGAATCCATCAGTCATTGCTATGGAGTTGGAACTGACTCTTAGCTGACCCTCCAGGGAGTTTTCAGAGACAACAAACTGCACGGGAGGAGACTGACCATCTTTCACCCTTGGCACTGTTTGTGAATTTGAACTAGCAAGGAGGTGCCACTTATGGGTTAGCCATGCAATTCCCTACAAACTAGACTACCAGAGCTCCCTAGACATGTCCTCATAGAATGTGTATACCCATGGCAAATATGTAAAGAAAAACAAAGATGTCAGTCTAGAGACTAAGCTGTACCTGGGCATGGTCTTCCCAATTACGTGCTATACAACAGAGAGTTGGACAATGACAAGGATGACAGAGGAAGAATTGATGTCTTTGAGTTGTGCTAGAGAAGAGTCTTGAACATACTATAGACTGCCAAGATATCTAACAGGTCTGTCCTGGAGTGGGTGAAACTGAGCTACTTCTTAGAGGCAAGAATTTTGAGACTCCATCTCACTTACTTTGGGCACACAGTCAGGAGGAACCAGTCTTTGGAGAAGAAGATCATGCTTGGAAGGGCAGAAGGAAAGCACGGGGGAAGAAGATCCCAAAGGAGATGAACTGACACAGTAACAGGGGTAATGAGAATAGGCGTGTCAGAGACATATTGTCTCAGGTAGATCAGGGTTCAGAGTTACAATGAAGAGTTTTTATCACTATGAGTCGTAGTCAACTTGACAGCACATAACAACAACAAGGTATTCATCATGCACTATTACAAATTGGCATAAAGGCATAATTAATATATTTAGAAATTGTAGAAAGATACATATAAAATTGAGGTCTGAAAATTCAAGCTTCTAATGAAGGTAGAAAAATTAATAAATATCTAGCAAGCTGGAGAAAACCTAAAACAATTCTTTTACTGCCTAAATGCAATCTTACTCCAAGAAGTAATGCAAAGTTTCTAAGTTTGCAGCCTTGTGGAGAAATAAAGTTGTTTAAACTTGTAAGATATGTAGAAAGTATATAAACTCTAGCAATTACTTTGCTTCAAAGAGAGATGGAGCAATAGATCTGGGAAATGGACTCTGCTTTACAGTGATGGAGTTGGATAGATGATACATAGATAGATAGATAGATAGATAGATAGATAGATAGATAGATAGATAGATAGATAGATAGATAGATAGATGATAGATACATACAGATGTACATATGTATGTACGTACTAGTTCTTCACTGATCCTTCTCATGGTAAGTGAGAAGCTGTGCCAAGTTTTGGATAAGGGTCAGGAATACAGATTTCCAAAATATAACATAGCTCAAAATGTTTCTTAGTTAGTCACATCCTATGAGCACTGTGTCTGAAACATTTTTTTCTTAAAAAGATATTACTTTTGCCATTTAAAACTTTTAAAAATGTAATTCATCATTTTAAAACATAACAAACAATACAAAATGCAAATAGGTAGTTAGAACTGTTTGTGATCTGTATCAAGTATAAATAGTTTGGGGAAAAGATATCTAGCTTCTGTCAGTTTGGGGCCTATTATAAGATGATACAGCCATGAACATCCTCTTGCACAAATCATTGTGCAACTGGGAAATACTTTAGCTTGACGACTTGTTGAATCAGAAAGCACATAGCAAAAGTCAACCAATAGTTCTGGCTCCCAGTAGTGTGTGAAAGTGCTTAGTATTTTTTTGATAACTTATGCAGATATTAATACTAATAACTAACCACAGTTAAGACCTGAGTTTCATTCCTTTTCCAAGAGATAATTTAAAATAGCTCCTGAAGGGGAAATTTGAAGTACTATTAATTTTAGGTTGCTTGAAGTAAATAATGCTGTAGGTGTTTTTATTATTTTTATTTTGTGTGAGGATATGTATTGTTCTAACACAATGATAATGCATATGGTATTTTTTCATGACAGTCTTAACTTAATGTTTTTCTTCCCTCTCCCCATCCTTGGCTTTTCTGTAGCTATCTAACTTTACCCAAACGTTGGCTCTTGAAGATTTTATTCTCCTGGCCAGTGGAACAGAATCAGTGGAAAATGACACTTTCAAAACTCTGAGTACCCTGAAGACCTTGGAGCTCTGGAAAAATAAGTTACGACGCGTGCCCACTGTTCTCCCGGCCAATCTCGAAGTGCTAAAACTCAATGATAATTCAATACCCATCTTACACGGGTCAGATTTTGAAGGGCTGAAGAAATTGAGAGTCCTGGAACTTAAAAATAACCTAATCTCTTCCTTTTCTCCCAGTGTGCTTTCCTCTCTTGTCAGTTTGCAAAGTTTGATGTTGGATGGCAACAATATGGAGTCTGTGGCTGGCCCACTGACACTTCCCCGTTTGACACAGATGAGTATGGAGAATAATAAACTACATCTCATACCTGGTAGCTTCTTCACTTCTCTTCAGTCTTTGCAGTTTCTTAGTTTCAGTGGTAATTTACTAACGAAAATTCCTTCTAATCTGCCCAAATCCTTGATATCCTTAAAGATGGAGAGAAACCAGCTCAAAGTGGTAAGATTTCGAGAGATGAAACACTTGGAGAATCTTTCCCATCTTTATTTATCAGAAAACTTACTCTCTTCTATCGATGGGGCACAACTCCTTGCCAATTTAATTACCCTTGAGTTGTCCCAAAACCAACTCCAAACATTGCCCCTCAGACTACCAGCAAGATTACAAAAACTTGATTGTAGCAATAATCTAATTCAGAGAGTGACAGTGCAAGATTTCCAGGATCTCCGAGACTTGAAACACTTGTTTCTGGACAACAATATTGTCAGCTTGTTCGAAGCTGGAGCTCTGCAGAGGTGTTCTCAGCTCTCCAACCTGGCCCTGGAGCAGAACTTGCTGTTGTCTATACCACTAAGGTAAGTAAGTTTTGCTGTTTATTATAGCTTCTATAACAACAACAGCATAGAGAGAGATCAGTTGGCATAGTGAACAGAAAGTCACGCTCCCAAGCCAAAGGTGGGTGACTCTAATCCGCAGCCCTCAGGCCTGCCTTTACTTGTTTTTGGTGAAACATTCCTCTAGGTCATATAACCCTGGTATGTCCACTTGCTGTATAGAGGTAACTCGTGGTTGCTGTGAAGCTGAACACTATGACACTGATGTGTCAAATGACAGAATGGTTACCCATGGTGGACAGTATTTGGTGGAGCTCCCAGATTAAAACAAAACTTGGAAGCAGGCATAGCATCCACTTCCATAAATAGCTTGCCTCTGGAATAGCTTGCCTCTGGAAACCCTATATACCTGGAGAAAGGACGAAAGTTAGACCAGTGCCCAGGGTTCATAGGGTTGCTATGAGTCACCTCCAACTCGACGGCACTTAACAAAAACAACAGTACATTTCTGGTGGCCTAGTGGTAAGAAACTGCACTGCAGTGCTGAAGACAGGGGTTCAAATTCACCAGCTGTTCCCTGGAAGAAGGATGGGCAATCTCCTCCAGTTGGATTAAGTGCCTCTGAAAACCCACTGGAGGGTCGGCTATGGGTCAGTTCCAACTTGATGGTACACAATAACAACAACTGTAACATTTCACAAAGATTAGCACAGGGCCATGGGGGGCAGGAAGGGGCTAAAAGAGCCAGACCACGTATAAATTATCTGATGAAGTCTATATGAGAGTTTAGGGGTAGAAGTTTTAGACAGGGAGTTGAAATCTCCAGCACTCACCTTGAATCCTGTAAGATTTGTCTTGCATTTGGGACAATATGCCGAGAAATGCTATCTATACTTGCAAATATGCAGTGCAACATTTGGAATACGTGCTAACAATTATAATATGTGAACATTACTTCATGAAATGTATCTTCTTGTGTTTCTCAGCTTTCTTTTTCTAGTTTAAAAAGTATGTCTTGGTTTATGGTTATATGGTTTAGATTAACTGATAGACATGTGCTTTGTCCATTAACAAATCAAGGACTGAAGGAAAATTTAGTAAGTTATTCATATTTCTCAAGGCATTGAAATAGTAAACTCAAAGCTTTATTGTTGTCAAGTCAGGACTAACTTAGCTGACCCTCTACTGAAGGTCCACAGCTGTTTATTACAAGGAGAGGAGATTGTCTACCTTTCTCCCGTGGAGCTGCTGGTGGATTTGAACCTTCAGAGAGGTGTGGCCTTTGGGCTAGCGCTGCAATTCCCTTCAGAAGGTCACCAGAGCTTGTAGTAGCTGGGGGGGGGGAGGGAGGAATGTCAAAATTTTATAATCGGGGGGCTCTGGTGGCCTAGTCGCAAGGACCTGCAACTACAATCCCAGAGGTGCACGGTTCGAATCCACCAGATGCTCTGTCGGGGAAGGCGGGACAATCTCCTCCTGTACCAGTCAGATCTGATTTGATGGTACACTCACACAAAAATAATAAAAATTTTAAAAAAATTTAAAAAAAACCTTTATAATCAAAACAATATTTATTTATCTTAAATTGTTTATTTGGAAGCCTCATCATCTTCTCTAAGATCATTGAAGGACTTGACCTGGGTCTCTATTCTGTCTATAAGTTAATCTTTTAAGTGTGTTGATCTTATATTCTGGTTTCAGTATCTCTTAGTGTTCTAAGACCATATTCTGACAATTTTGTTTTCTTTTGAGGGTAAAATAGTAATGGTAGATTTATTAGGAAATTACATTACCAAAGGAAGGGACCAAATTTCTCTCTCAAATCTCATTCCGTCTTTATCCAATGCATTGCACCTTGTTTCCCTACTATTGTTGTTGTTGTTGACTGACTTTGAGTTGAGCACGATTCATAGTGACCCCATGAACAAAAGGCCTAAAGCCCCTCTACAACTATTGACATTTATCAAAGTTCATAGAGTTTCCGGACACAGGCTACTTAGGAAGTGGATGCCACTCCTGCTTCCTAACCTGTCATAGTATGTTGTTGTTATGTGCCTTTGGGTCTCCTGCGATGTATAGCGACCCTACGTACAGCGGCTCTGAGACCTTCCCTATCCTGAGTCAGTCTCACTAATTCCAATACACCAACCCCCATCACCCCAGTTACTGTATCAATCCATCACATCCCAGGTCTTCCTCTCCTTCTCTGTCCATCTACCCTTTTAAGCATGATGTCCTTTTCCAAGGATCAGTCTCTCCTGGCCCCCTAGTTATGCTCTAGTCAGGACACATTTAAATTTTTTATATATACTTAAACTTTACCCTATTTTCTACATTTTAAATAAAGTTTATATATATTCTTTTGAGTACTATTGAGTCCAATTAATCACACAGCGGGAAATTTCCCCTCCTTCTCCTGTGTAGCAGCTGGTGGTTTCGAATTGTGTGAGTTTGGAATTGCAAGAGCACTTTCTTACCACTAGGCTACCAGATCTCTCTCTCACCATTCTTTTTCCTTTCAGCTTTTGATAACAGCAAAATTTCCTTGCTCTTTTAATATTATCAATGGCTTAGAATTAATATACAAGAGTCTGACCTCTGTAGAAATTGAGGGAATTCTATTTACCTGACTTCATTGTCAGTTCTAAACACTTATCAATATGAAAGGAAGTATTATCTTTGAGATGTACAGGGTTTTAACCTCTTATTAAAAATAGTATTTTTACTTCAAAATATGGTAACACTGTCCAATATAAAATACCAGAAATTGATTTTTTTCAACTGCATAATTTGAAGTTTTAAAATATATTGAAAGTAAGTTGTAAGCATTCGATTCACATATACTGAACACTCTACTAGTTATTTGGGATGCATCAGCCCCAAAACAGAAAACTTGTTTCAAAAAACCTCAAATTCATTACTATGAAGTCGGAACCAACTTAGAGCTGACATTCCAGTGTGTTTCTGCGACTGTAAATGGCATCAGAAGTGATTTCCCAGTTTTATCTCACAGATATTCATGGTGGATTCAAAACACCACAGAGGCGTGGTCTTTGTAGGAACCCCATTCCTACTGGACTATGTTACTCAGCTCCTACTTCCTATTTGTTTTTGCTATGTGCCATCGAGTCGCTTGTGACTCATAGTGACCCTAAGAACAATAACCCTGTCTTGAGTAAATCTCATTGTCTTTTAGACTTCTACGCCCGTTACCCCAGGTACTGTGTCAGTCCATCTCCTATAAGAGCTTCCTCTCTTGTGCGGTTCCATGCAGCTTAAATTTCAGAAAAGGAATATCAACAATAAACATAAATTTAAAAAGTATGTGTTATATAATATATAACACAAACATCTCTATTTATAAACATAAAGTATGTGTTATATAATATTTAGACCTTGTTAAGTTCTATAAGTAACAAAAGCAACAACAAAATGGGTACAATTAGAAGCTTTAGGAGATGGGAAAGGTTAGTTGTGGTTTTACATTGAGTAAACTCAGTAACCTTTATAAAGCAAAGGTGAAAGAGGCAATGTGTTTAGTTATGAAATTATTTGGGAGGAAAATAACCTGGAATGAAGAAGACCCAGTACAAAGGCCATAAGGCAAAAGCATGCCTAGAGTGTTTAAAGATGTTATTATTTGAGCGTGGCTGCTAACCAAAAGGTCTGGGCAGTTTGAGCCCACCAAGAGCTCTGGGATTAAACAGACCTGGCATTCTGCACCCATGAAGATTGTTGTTATATGTTGCCTGCGACCCATAATGACCCTGTGTACAACAGCTCTGAAGCCTGCCTTGTCCTGAGCCAGTCTCCGACACACCTACCCCATTGCTCTAGTTACTATATCATCTCTTCTTCTGCCCTCTACCTCCAGCACTCTGAGCATGATGTCCTTCTCCAAGAATCTGTCCCTCCCGGCCACATGCCAAAGTATAGGAGATGGAACTTACTTTTTTTATCTTAGCCTCCAAGTAGAAACTTGGTTTCATCCTCCTCAAGACAGACATATTCATTTTCATGGTGGTCCAGGGTATGTTCACAACTCTTCTCCAATACCACAACTCAAAGACATTGATTCTTCTTGTCATTCTAAGTTATTGTCCAGCTCTCTGATGCATAGCAAGTAATTGCAAAATCCATGGCATTGATCAGATGTACTTTAGTCTGTAGATTGATCTCATTGCATCTCAACACTCTGGAGAGATCCCTGACAATAGATTTTCACAATGCAAGGTCTTTTGATTTCCTGACTGCTGGTGCCAAGAGTGTTGATTGTGGAACTGAGCAAGTTGTAACTGTAAACAATCTCAATCTCTTCTCCGTCCATCCCTGTGAAGATTACAAGCCTGAGAAACTCTATAGGAGCCAAAATCAACATGGCAATATACACTTTATGTCCCAATATACAACATTTTCTACCACAGCATATCTCTATGCCAAGAAAAAGGGTCATATATAAAGTAAAAACTCATGAAACAGACTAGGGATGTACTGCAAGATTCACTGCCGACTGTGACAACCAGGGGCAAAATTGTGAACTTGAATTTTCTACTTAAGTGACATTTAGAAAACACTTGGCTAAATAAACCTTTAATGAGTGAAAAATAGTTTAATTATTTACTTCTGTTGGGACATCTGTGTTTTAATAAGTGACTACAGAAAGAACAGTGCTTTGTTCAATGGACTGTAAAATGGAATTACAAGAATGAGCTAGCCGGCGCTCACAAATCTGGTTTCATATTAGAATTATCTGGATCATTTAAAAGCAAAACCAACCCCCTCACCCCAGAGAAGTCTTACTTCAAAATAATTATACCAGACAATTGTGCCCAGGGTTTGAAAACTTCCTTGTACAGCTAGCTGTGAAAATAATGGGACAAGTAGCTTTTACTATGAAGCTTAAATTAATCAATATGACTGCCTACTCTATCAGAGAGTTTGACATGTTAAGAGAATAAAGTCCTTACAGCGATTTTTTTTTCTTTTTTTCCCATTTATTTATTATTATTGTGCGTGTGTGTGTACCATCAAATTGGATCCGACTGGTACAGGAGCTTGCCCCTCCTTCTCCAGCAGAGCATCTGGTGGTTTTGAATACAGTGATTTTTAAAAATGTCTATTCTCCTCAAGAGACAATAAGATTGACACAGGATAGAGCAGGATTTAGGGCTGCATAGGATTGCTATGAGTCACAGGAAAGTTAATGGCATATAACAACAACAATCCTACTCCATAAGGAGCTCTGGTGGCCTAGTAGCAAAAAGCTGTGCTGCAACCCGAAAGGCATGCAATTTGAATCCACCAGCTGCTCTGCGAGAGAAGGATGGGCAATCTCCTCCCGTGCAATTAACTGCCTCTGAAAACTCACCAGAGGCTCAGCTATGGTTCAGTTCCAACTCAATGGTACACAACAACAATAATCCTCCTCCATGGCAATTAAAATGCATAACTGTAGTAGTCAATAAACCAAAGGGTGTATTGCATTTAGCAAATATGCTGTCAAAGAACTCCTTAGAATGTCAAGGAGCAAGGATGTCAATTTAAAGACTTAGGTGCATCTGATCCAAGCCATAGTATTTTTTATTGCTTCCAATGCATCTGAAAGTTGAATAACGAATAAGGATGATTGAAGAAGAATAAATGCCTTTCAATCACAATGTTGGTGAAGAGTATTGAATAGCCACCCTATAGACTGTTGAAGGAACAAACAACTCTTAGATGAAGTGCAACCAAAGTGTTCCTTAGAAGCAATGATGGTAAAATTTTGTCTCATATACTGTGGACGTGTTTTCACAAAAGACCAGTCCATAGAAAAAACCCATCATGTTGTGAAAGATAGAGGATCTGCAAATAAGAAGAAGACCCTTAACACACTGGATTAACACAGCGACTATACAAAAATGGCTTTTAACATATCAGAGATCATGACAGTGACACAGAATAAGACAAGGTTCAGATCTATCATTCATAGGGTCACTATAAGTCATCCTGGACTCAATGGCACATAACAACAACTACCTCCCCTATTTAAGATAATCCCCTGAATTGGAGAATGAGAATAACCCAGATGTGTATAAAGTACTAAACGCAGAATCTATTTCTTATATTTTATTTCAAACCTGTAATTAAGAACTTTAAGATATACCTATATCTTCTATTTGTAGACTTGTGATTCACTGTAAAATTGAGCTTCCTAAAATAAACTGCAAACTCAGGCCCCTGCTATTACTACAAACCACATCTCCCCAGATACCCTGTTTCTCTTACTATCTTCCATTCTATATTTATTGTCAGCCTAATGTACATATTTTTAATAACAGAGACTCAAATAACTTCAATATTTGCTTCAGTATGCCAAATGGTGGAAAGTATTAACATTTATTAAGTTTCTAGCACAACCAGCGGTGAACATACATTCATGTTCACATGTTACTCCTTATTTGTGATGGACAGTAGCAATGCTGTTTTATCTCTTGTTCTACAGACTTGGGCATTAAGAGTTAGAGATATTATGAAACTTTAAATCACACTGCCAACAAAATGGTGAGGCAGAATTTGAACATAGTTAAGGCAGCAGCTTAGAGGTAGGGATGGTGAAACTTCCTCTCACATACTTTAGGCATTTTTCTAGAAGAGGCTATTCCTTGGAAAAGGACATCATGCTAGGAAAGGTGGAAGTTCAGCAAAAGAGTAAAACCTTCAACAAGATGGACTGACACAGTGACTGTCAATGTGAGCTCACGTTTATCAGGGTTGACGTGGATGATATAGGACAGGACAAGGTTCATATCCGTGGTTCATAGGATTGATAATGAGTTGTATTCCACTTGTCAGCACAGCAGCAACAACAAATAAAGCTGCAGAAGCAGGGGCTCTGCACAATTCTGCTTCCCAGATTTACTCTACTGTCAACAATACCAAACTACCTGAGAATTTTAGATGTCTAAGAGCTCAGGGTCCTTAGAGAAGGACATCATGCTTGAAGGGGTGGGAGGATAGCTCAGGAGAGGAAGATGAGATACATTGATACAGTAACAGTAGGGGTGGGGGTGTCAAAATTAGTGAGACTGGCCCAGGACGGCAGGCTTCAGAGCTGCTTTACATAGGGTTGCTGTGGGTGTCAGGCGCCTTGATGGCACAAAACAACAACAGCAATAATAACAAGAGCTCAGGGCTGATTTTTGGTACTCCAAATTTCACGAATCTGGAGTCAAGTAAGTTTACATCATCTCTTCATTTTGCATCAAGCTTTCTACAGCCAAATAACTTTTGTCTTACTTATGCACAAGTGCCATCTACTGGCCAAATAAAGATGCTACTATTTATTCAAGAAATTTTCTAGAAACGTTTTTCTTGGACTCTGGGTCTGCCATTTAACAGATATAAGACTCATATAGACAAATTACGTCAGAGCAATACTTGACTTCTCAAAAGCAGAAGATAATTAGTGATTTTTCTTACAATCTTATTTTTATGTATTAGTTCAATAGAATCAAGGCGGGGGGGATTAAAATGAAAAGGGGGCTAGGGGGAGAATTAGAAAGAAAAGAAACTATTAATACTCTAAAGACTAGGTGAAACTTGTAGATATGCAGCACAAATACTCAAACTCAAACAGTTGTCCTTGTTTAAATGTAAAATTTTTCATGCTCAGTGTTGTTTTTAGATGCCTTTCAATCAACTGCAATTCGTAGCAACCCTCAACTTTGACCTATCCTGCTTCTCTTCATGATCTCTAAGATGCTTGAGCCCATTGTTATAGTCACTGTGGCATTCTTCTTGTTGGAAATCTTCCTCTATTTCTCTCACTATACCTTTCCCAACATGATGGTTTTTCCAAGGCCCCTCCCGACAAGACACCCCAAGTACTTAAGACTAAGTTTCACCATCGTTGCCTTCCTCTAAGAAGACTTGTTTGTTCTTTTCATAGTCCATGAGGTATTCGGTAGTGGCATCCACTTCCATAAATAGCTTGCCTCCGGAAACCCTATGAACCTGGAGAAAGAATGAAATGCACGCACAAGTGTCAAGGACTTACGTTCATAGGGCCGCTAAGAGTCGCCTACTTAACAACAACAACATAGGACTTTGGTACACTGTTGTTGTTGTTGCTGATTGCCTGCGAGTTGAGCACGACTCATAGCAACCTTATGAACAAAACGCCTGAAGCCCCTCTACAACTATCGGCATTTATCCAAGTTCACTGAGTTTCCGAAGGCATGCTGTTTAGGAACACTAAGCACTTTAATTGTAGAGTAATACTTAAAATAATACTATCATCATTTTAAAGTAGGAAATCAAAAGCTACATACCAGTGCAACAGAAAGACCAAAGTTGGAACCTAAGTAGTTAGAGACATTTTTTTTATTCTCTTATTGTCTGGTTTACTCTACCCTATCTTTTCACAGCTATGCTACCTTGTCCTTTACAATGAAAAAGGTGCCTTGTCTATTGTTACATGGTCTATTAATAGTAATCTTGCCTTAAAAAAACAGGTATGCAAAAGAGATTTTCTGTGCATTTTTAGGGATATACCTTAGGTAAGCTAGTTTTCCTGGGAAGAAAATTAAGTTTTGTTGAGGATTAACTTAAAATTGAATTTAATTATCAATTGTTATTAGCATTTGTGAAGTGATATTCCCAGCAGGAACTTATTTTCTACTTTGAAAGTTTTATTCCCACCAATAGTTATATAGTCCTCATCTTCAGTAGTCATGAATTTTTAAACTTAAAAATCCAAACTAGTTTCCAATTTGACAAATAAAACCAAGAAGTCATGTTTTTTCTATTTTGTAGTCCTGCAAAAGACTTTTCACATTTTTTTATCTGACATTTTTCTTTTTCCTTCTGTAAATTGTTGCTTTATGACCTTTGTTGGCATAACACCTGAGATGGTAGTTTTTCATATATGTTTATCAGGGGAGTAATTGCATTTGATCAAAAAGAAAAAGAAGAACCCTCCAAGAGTTTTACAAATAGAGTTCACAAGAATCCCTGTTAGAAAATAAAACCTATGGGAAAGGTTAAAGACTTACAGAATAAGGCTGACGTTTGTTTTCTGGCTTTAGAGGGGACAGAATTATACAGAAAAGACAGGTGTTACCTTGAGCTGCTCTCACATCCCATTTGTATGCTTTTCAGGCTTCCAGGGACCTTAGCCAGGCTGGACCTAAAAGGCAATGTCATCCAGGATATCGCTGAGAGGGAGCTCAAGGACCTAAAGCAGCTGCAGGTTCTAAACCTCAGGAACAACAAGATCTCTGCCTTAGACCTCAAAGCCTTGGAAGGTCTGCCCCGCCTCAGACACCTGTACCTGGATGGAAACCCCTGGAACTGCACCTGCAGTCTCCTGAGAGCCAGGGAGGTCCTGAAGGCCAAGGGCACAGACGTAAGGGGTGGACAGTGTGCGGCACCAGCAGAACGACTAGGAGAGAGCTGGATGTCCTCGAAGAAGATCATGAGGCAGTGTGAGCAGCACTTACGCATGACGGAGAAAAGCAAAGACACAAAGAAGAAATCAAAACCCGAAGAGCAGATCAGCCTGAGAATCAACATGGATGATGACTATTATGATTATGAAATAGATTAAGTATGAGTTTTGTCCACGGGTTAGAAATGCTTATTCTCTTATGCAGAAATGCACGATATATTTAGATATACCAGAATCATTTTTGTAAGTTTAAAATTTTTTTTAATAAAATGACTTTTATGATAAATTGAGGTGGGGGTGGAAAGTAAGATGGGGCACCAAGAAGAAGCTAGCAGAGTTCTTCCATTTTCAAAGTTATCTATGTCTCATAGTGAACTCTAGACAAATAATACCTATCAAATAAAATTTGCCATGTGACTAACTCTTTTGCCAACAAAGTGTTTGACTTTAGAAAATAAAAAAAAAGTGATGTTTTATATCTGAAGCTGGTGCTACAGACCTATGCTTTAGATTTGGGCTACAAAAAAACAAAAAACACACTATCTGATCTTCTGACTAAAAGAGGAAAGAATGTATTGGAAGAGATCGGGATAACCCAGAACATCAAAAGAAAAGCTGAAGAATGTGAGAAGAGTAGGGATCAAAACAACTTTGGGGGCTCCCAGATTATGGAGAGATGCTAAGCTTCTGCAGGGTTCTTCTTTGAACAGAATGAAGAGACTCCCACTATTTTCAATATTAGTCTCCCTCCTCTCAAATTGCAGAGAGCAAGAGGCTGGCTGGCCTATGTTAATCCACCTTTTGGTTGAAGGACTGTGTCCTGTTGGACAGTCTTACTGTGAGACTAAAGGGAAACCAGAAAGGACAATGTAAATTTGCACCTCAAACGCTACAAATATTCTACCATAACTTTCCTGAAAAGGCTTACACATTTGTCTCTTGAATTCTGTGCTTTTGAAATTCACAGTCCCCTTGTTGTTCTGCGTGCCGTCAAGTTACTTGTAACTCATAGTGATCTTATGTACAACAGCTCTGAGCTCCGCTCTGCCTTGAGTCAATTGTCTCCAACACAACCTACCCCAGTCATTGAGTCAATCCATCTCATTTGGGGTCTTCCTCTCTTGTGCTGTCCCTCTACCTTTCCAAGAATGATGTCCTTCTCTAAGGATTGGTCCACTTACACCCGGATTCCTGTCCCCCTTGCCATTTTGGTGAGCTAAGGGCTAACTTATTCCCCTAAAACACAGCGTGTGAGTACTCACTCATTGTCATCAAGCCAGAACAAACTCATAGCTGACCCTCTGGTGGGTTTCCGAGGCTGTATATGGCAGGGAGGAGATTGATCTTTTTCCTAACCAACAGCTGGTAGGTTTGAACCACCAGAGAAGCGCCACCTGTGGATTAACATCAAAGGACTTCCCATGCAAATGCTCCTAACACTTGAATTGACCACAACAGGAAGGGAAACCCAAGCATAAGTAATGCTCACAGTTCGAACCTGGGTTGTTCAAGTATCTGCTGTAAAGTACAGGCCAATTTTCTACCACATGGGAGGTTACCTTCCACCCTTGAATCTCGCATTGTTTTAAGACCAAATGTATTTGGGGGTTGTTGTTGTTGTTGTTGTTATGTGCCGTCGAGTCATTTGCGACTCATAGCGACCCTATGTACAACAGCCCTAAACCGTGCTCTATCCTGTGCCAATCTCATTGCCTCTGACACACCCATCCCGATTACCCCAGTCACTGAATCAATCCACCTCATAGAGGGTCTTCCGCTCCTGTGCTGTCCCTCTACTCTACCCAGCATGATGTCCCTCTCTAAAGACCTGTCTCTCCTTACAACATGTCCAAAGTATGTCAGACGAAGCCCCAGAATCCTTGCCTCCAAGGAGTAGCCTGGTTGAACCCTCTCTAGGGTGAATCTGTTTGTTTTCTTGGCAGTCCATGGTACTTTCAATACTCTTCTCCAGCACCACAGCTCAAAGGCGTCAATTCTCCTTCTATCCTCCCTAGTCATTGTCCAACTCTCTGAAGCATATCAAATGATTGCAAAAACCATGGCCTGTATCAGGCGCACCTTATACTCCAGAGAGACACCGTTGCTCTTGAGTACTTTAGAGAGGTCCCTAACAGCAGACTTTCCCATCGCAATACGTTTTTTTATTTCCTGGCTACTGGTGACAAGAGTGTTGACTGTGGAGCTGAGCAAACTGAAGCTGTGAACAGTCTCAATCTCTTCGCCATCCATCCTGATGCTACTGATTGGTCCAGTGGTGAGAATCTTTGTCTTCTAGACATTGAGCCTCAGTCCATACTGAAGACTGCAGTCCTTGACCCTCTGCAGTAAGTGCATGAGGTCCTCCTCAGTTTCAGCGAGCAGGGTTGTGTCATCTGCATAACGCAGATTGTTGATAGATCTTCCACCAATCCTAACGCCACGCGAGGAAAAGGGGAGAGAAACTTCCAGGTTTGCTTCCTCATCCATCAAAATGAAGATTACAAAGCCTATATGTGAGAGTTAAGGGATTCCTGGGTAGTGCAAATGGTTAACATGTTCAGCTGCTTCTCTAAAATGTTGGGGGTTCAAGTCCAACCAGAAATACCTCACAAGAAAAGACAATATACTTCTAAATATTTAGTTACTGAAATCCCTGCAGATCACAGCTCTGCTTTGACAACTGGCTATGAGTCAGAAGTGAGTTAAAACCAGCTGTCTGCAGTTAATTCATTTGAATGAAACCTATATAGAAATCTTTCCTAACCGCTCCCATAATTGCAAGCCTGGCTCTCTCCCCAAATGAAAATATTGCTCAATACCACAATTTCAATTGTTGTCAAAGTAAAAGGGTGTGCCCAAGAGTATGCCTTACCAGTATATGACAATACTAAAGACACTATCATAGGTTTACTACCTCCCAAAGTTTAAAAAAAAAAAACCAACCTGCTTAACTACTCCCTTGGTAAAACAAGTCTTGACTGATATTTTTAAATTGTTCTTTGTGCAGAATGAATTTAATTCTTGGATGAGAGTTGAGTCCCCAGCATGGGGTTGGGGAGGTGGGGATGGGGAGTGAGAGGTGGAATTAGGGAGGCTTCACCCTGTTTGAAGTTCCTTAAGGAACGACTAAGACAAACAATCCCAAGAGAAGGTGGCATACATGATCCACATGTGTTGTTGTTGTTGATTGCCTTCGAGTCAAGCATGACTCATAGCGATCCCCTGAACAAAAGGCCTGAAGCCTCTCTACAACCATCGACTTTTATGAAAGTTCATAGAGTTTCCCGAGGCATGTTGTTTAGGAAGTGGATGTCACTCCTGCTTCCAAACCTGTCATAGTATGTTATTGTTGTTATGTGTCATTGAGTTGCCTGAGATGTATAGCCACCCTATGTACAGCAGCTCTGAACCTTTCCCTGTCCTGAGCCAGTTCACTAACTCCGACACACCAACCCCCAGTTCTTCAGTTACTGTATCAATCCATCTCATCTGGGGTCTTCCTCTTTTGGGCTTTTTAATAATTTTTTAAATTATTATTAAATTTTATTAGTTTTCATGAACATTTACAGAGATTTTGGGTTTTCATTCATTCATTGTTGCACTGTTTTCTCTACCCTCCTCCCCAGTTCGTTCTTCTTCCTGCCCCATGTCTGTTTTAATTGTCCAATTGCCACAGTACTTGTCAAAGCCAGTTCTGATTAATCTCCTT